AAAAATCATGAGCGGGGCGTTACTCATTTAAAACAGCAGGTTAGAGATATCGAAGATAACTTGGCCCCAGTATGATGGGAATGCTGAAGATAGTGCCTTACATTTTAGCAATTCCTTACGCCATATTTTCAGGAAATCATTCCTCTTGTTAAGGAAGCTAACGTAACGTCTAACGCTGAGTGGTTTACTGGCGAATTAAAACGCTTAAAAATCAAAAATTCAAAGTATTTAAGCTTTTTAAAAAATCTGGCTTGTCTTCTCACTACTCCGCGTACTCCATTCTTAGGCATAAATACAATGTATTGAACAAGAAGTGTTACAATAATTATATTAACAGGGTTCGACTCAATATAGTTTCTAATCCCAAATCGTTTTACGCCTTTGTGAACACAAAGCGTAAGACTAACGGTTATCCCTCAACATTGAAGTTAAATGACTTAGTCTCCAGTGACGAAAATATTATTGCCGATACGTTTGCTGGTTTCTTCGAGTCAAACTACTCTACCTGTTCTACATCTTCCCAACTAAATTCGAATCTATCTAGCTACCCATTCTTTCTGCCATCATTTGATTATATCCGAATTCCATCGATATCTGCTGCGGACGTCCTCATTCATTTGAATTGTTTGAAAATTTCATATACAGCTGGCCCAGACGGTATACCCACAAGTGTTCTTAAAAGCTGTGCAGAGTATTTGTATAAGCCTCTCAGCCCATCTTCCTGGAAGGACTAACATCGTAAACTATAGTGCTATTCCTAAAGTTTTTGAGGCAATCGTTACGGAAGAACTATCTCACTCTATTACTTCTGCTATTGATCTATCGCAACACGGTTTTTGCAAAGGTAAATCAACTGTATCCAATCTTCGTGAATTCACTACTTATGTGTCTAATGGGTTTAAAAACAATCTTCGAACGGACGTGATTTACACTGATTTCAGCAAGGCATTTGATAAAGTATCTCATTCAAGCCTTATATATAAACTTGATCGAATTGGTTTCCCTTCTATTCTTCTCAGCTGGCTTTCTTCTTACTTAGTGGATAGGAAACAAAGAATAATTTTTAAAAATTGTACCTCCCGGCCCATACATGTCACGTCCGGCGTACCTCAGGGCAGCCATCTTGATCCCGTCTTGTTTATTTTATTTATAAATGACTTTCCAAAGTGTTGAATTACTCGAAATGCTTAATGTACGCTGATGATGTTAAGCTCTTTAAGTACATTAGTACTGCAGAAGATAGGGAGCATTTGCAAGCTGACCTAACCTGCATTTTCGAGTGGTGTGAAGCAAATTCCATGTCACTCAATTTGAAAAAGTGTAAATTCATTACCTTCTCTAGAAAATCGTTCTACCCGTATTCGTATATGATATCTGACCACAATGTTGAGCAAGTGACCAATTTCATTGACCTAGGTGTAACTATGGATCCGAAACCAGAATTCAACCCTATTAAGCTGGAATTTCAGGGTACTATTTTATATATATATAAGGAAAATTTGAAAGCCGACGCTTTAGAGTCGTAGAGATATGTTTGGTGTTCTTTTTTTAATTAAATTAATGAACGGGATGGTCAGTAGTCCCTTTTTACTGAGTGAGATAAATTTTTGTATTCCTACAAGACCCACGAGACATTTTAAACCTATTGTGCTGAGTATTTGTAAATCAAACTTTGAAATGCATGATGCTTTTCGGTGTTTATGCCAAGATTTTAACAAGCATTATGATTGCTTCGATACATCTGAATCGCTTTTTGTAATAAAGAAAACTTTGCTCAACAAGTTAACTAAATAAACTAATATCTGTAACCGTGAACTAAAAAATTACACAATATCTATGACCGCTTAGTACAATTGTAACGGCTTCGTATATTTCCACGACCGCGTAGGACAATACGAGTAGGGATCGGAAACTCGGCCTTTCCGACCTCGCCCAACAGTTCGTCTATAGCGCGGAGCGGAAACTAGGACTTTCCGCCTGCCTCACTTACATAGTAATGACTACGGGAACATGGATCGGAAGCTCGGCCTTTCCGACCATGATCAACGGCCTGTAAACAGCGCGGAGCTGAAACTAGGTCTTTCCGTCCGCCGCACACAAAAGTAGACTGGAGAAAAGGCCTCGTCAGCTACCCAAATTGCTATTGTATATCATTATTATCTTTACAAGTTAATATTTATAATTATTTCACTCTGTAATGTATCATACATACATGAATATGTATAATTAGTTTACTCTGTAATATATCATACATACTTAAATATCTAAATCTTTTTATCTCAATTGTCTGTAAGAAAACATTTTTCTGTAGACTGAATAAATAAATAAATAAGTATAACAAAATCAAATGCTTTGTACCAAGGCACATTAAACAGGTAGTATCAGTAGAGCAAAAACATCATTTGCGTGTATTTTGTTGTTGCTTCTGGTATCGAAAGTGTCAAAAACTGTTCTGAATTTTTTCTTCTAAATCAAAGCGTGCCATGTGAAATACAAAAAATTATAAAAAATAAAAAATTGAAATTGGAAAAAATAAAAATTGATGCAACTTTCTTTCCTAGTAAATTTGTTTGCTTCTCGAAGCATTGATCCATACTTTGCAAGGCCCAGTAATCAGCGGTCGTGCTGCCGAGTTGGGCGAACGTTCCAAAAGCTGCTATTCAATCGCTTGTTTTGTATGGAAAAAGGTTTCACAAGCAAATGGATTTTAACAACTTATAATTTTCGTGAGAAAAAATTAAAAATATTTGACATTTTCGAGACCAAATAATTGGAAAATAAATCAAATCAGCTGCTCTACTGATACTACCTGTTCAATGTACCTTGCTTTGTACTGCATGCGCTCCACGTTTTTCGTTTTCAATGTCATTAATTGTTTATAACGACTTTTGCTAAAATTTCAAAATCAAAAGTTATCAAAACAAATTCTGTGGGACTGAGAAATATTATTTTCTACTTTTTAGTCCATTAATAAAAGCCTTGTATATTAAAAAGTTTTCATTTTTATTTTATTTATTTATTTTGTGAACTTGCTGTCGACTTATTTACATATAATTTCATCTTTATTTCTATGCGTGCTAATTTTGACAATTAACACGAAATTAAAGGCTACATTTCTTTATTCATTCTGAACGTTTGGAATAAACTTTTCTGTTTACTTATTCTTTAGAACGTTCCTGATGATATGTTAACGCATATTTCAAACGAATTCTGTTTATTCCGGCTGTGAAATGGGATTATCCGGAATGTCTAAAGAAACGCAGCCAAAATAAATGTTTTTGTTTTCGAGCTAAAAGACTAATAAAAGGAAACACGGAACTTAAGAATAATAAGTTTTATGAGAAATTAATAATTACACTTTTCTAAGAAAAAGTAGAAAAAACTAGCGATGCATCCAGTTTTTTCAACAGACCTTTGACAAATAATATTCGATAGTTACATAATTCTTACCTAATTAAAGGTAATCTTTTCACGCGCAAATAGTCGACGCTCTTTATAGCCAACCGTTGAACATTTCCGCTGGAAATACGTACTATTTTCTTACTCTTTGACTTTAAATTATGAACGAAGGTCGACGTAGGGGGCAGTCTTAACGTAGCATCTCCACAGGCAAACAGATGTTGGATACAATTTTTTGTTTGCCAGATATACGTTTTATCAGTGCACTTGCACAATATTCGCATTCGCAAAAGCTCCGCATGGATTATTGCGAATGCGAATGTCAACATTTGTGCGGAAGTTCCGCGGTTGCGAATGCGAATATTCGCAACAACCCTGCCACAGAGTATGGCAGCTTTTTCTCATTTATCAATAATTACACTAAAAAAAAAGTATCACTATTGGTTTAGTACACGTAGTGTTAATAAGAAACTTTAAAGAGTCTCATTTTTCGGCATCAACATAACCATTAATAATATAAAGAGTGTATTGAAAAATATTATATTGGTATTTTGGTTATTAATTTGATGAGGAAAAAGACAAGTTTGCCCTTAACAATATCAAATTGAGACCAGTATAGTATTTTTGGTTATTTTCGGTTTCAATATAACAACGAAAAATATTTCTATGTAACAATTGAAACTATCATTTAGATAAGATGATTAATGAGGAAAAAGAGATGCCCGAAAGTTGATGTTGATGGCTAAATAGCATCGTCCTGATGACAACTTTTTTTGAGTGTAAATTTTATTGCTTGGTATGGAATGACAAAAATCCCGTTTTTCGTCAGAAAATCCCATTCGCCCTTTTTAGTCATAAAATCCCGAAAAAAGGGCGAAATCCCGCAAACTGGCAACACTGGTCTAAACCCGACCTGGGCAGCATCGTCGCGTCGTATTCGCATATACATACACGCTCTGCTTGAGAAGGCAGCGAAAGCTTCATTAAACTGCCGAAGCTGCTCAGCTCTGGCCTAAACGCATGCGCAAAGTATGGTAATTGAAAAAGCATTTTTGCACATTCGATAGTTTGATATGGTAGCGACGATATGTATGTAGTTCAATTGTTCAATATGAGCTACAAATGTACTCGTGCCTAGAATAGCGATTACAAGAAGTGGCAACAATTCTAGGTTAAGACCTGCTGATCGAGTTTTTTATGCGTCCAAGCTTAATTGATATACATGGTTTATTTATGTCCACCCAGCGATTCATATTCGATAACAGCCTTGCATTGCATTATATTTTTTGTACAGAGTTGAATCGCGATTAATAAATTTGTATCTTCCAAACGTTCACGCATTAAAGTTAGTTTTTTCAGTATTTATATGAATTAACATAAAGTATTCTATTAAATAAAAAACAGTAAATAATAGTACGCAGTTTTGAGGCTGGAACAGTGTAATACTATGAGAAACAGTAAAGATATCAGCCTTAGTATTACCAGATCAAAGTCATCAATCAGAAGCGATTTGGTTTTCGGCCGCGGGACACCTTGCCACGGAAGTGCTCATATTTAGGTGTTGATTCTCGTGGCCATTAATAAAAACACATTTACGATAGTGCATTTTCTTCATATTCATTACTTTATTAAACATTTTTAATGTGATTTGCAATTCGAATTTTTATAAAATAAGTTTGGCAAAAAATAGAACTAAAAACTCAGTAACATTGTCCCTCGTGTAACTCCACCACAACGGGGATGTCAGCGTGCACTTCCTTTACTTTCGGGTCACACACGGAGTTGCGAATGACTTCTTCCACTTCTGCGCGCAAAATACGGAAATTAATATCGCTGTAATCCAGCTGACCGTAGAGATAGATCGGGAGGCGATTGCTCATCACCCAGACACCCTGCTGGGGTTCCTGGTCAATCTTCATATCGTTGGGGAACTGCACCAATGTTTGCCTGCTGCTTAGCAACATTGCTAAATTGCCACGCACATATGGCTTCGCGGTATCCCAACAACCGATATTATCCTGATGCACCTGTGTGTAGAACATAACTCCGTTTCGAGCAATACCGGCTGCAGACGACTGGCTTAAGGGTCCGCGATCGCCGATTTCGACGAAATGTTTGGCTACCTCCTGAGCACGCGCTGGCCACAGGCTCTCGTCTCGTAAAAGGTCTGTAGAAATAGCAAACTCCTATAGTAAAGACAAAGAAGCCGGACAAGTTCGGTAAAAAGGGATTTTATAAAAATTTTACGAGTATGCGTTACATTTTTACCTTAAAACTAGCCATTGGATGAAAATACAGCGTAGACTTGTTGTGCTGCACCAAGGACAAACTCATACCAAATACACCGTCTAACCACTGGAAGTTCAGTCCATAAACATTAAAATCAGATGCAACCGGATTCGGATTAAGATTGTAGTTCGTAACTCGCCAACTGCGATTCTTGGCCAAACTGTAGACGACTATTCCGAAGCGCCAAACATCCGTAACATAGACGTGGGCATCATCGCATTGACTCGCGCGCACATCGGCCAAAATATTCGAGTGCAATGAGTCCTGTTTGACTTGCTCCGGCGGTAGTGTAAAGCTGACCACCATTTCATCGGTAGCTAATTCGAAAGCGACGATTTTTGGTGGGCAAATCTGGTTTAAGTTTACTGTAGCGTTTACGATGCCCGAATCGATTAACCACAAACGGCCGCAAACATCGATCGAGCTGCGGTAAACGGATATGAGTTTGGCGCAGTTCGGTTGTTGAACAGCACTATGAGCATTCCAATCGGGATATGGGCGTAAGGCAGGACTCCGTTCTTTTGTGGGAAATGGGAGATAGTTAAGACTAGCGGGAACGCCATCCTTCCATCGTGGAGTAGTTATGAACATCCGGTCGCCGAACACATCGATCCCCAAAGGCAGATTGTTCTCTGGCACAAAATCACTAAAAATAAACTGTGTTTTATTATTTGCATAAAAGCTTTTAATTAGATATGGCTTATTTACTAAAATGCTGTCATAACAAAAAAAAAAACACGAAATTTTTCATTAGACGGGTTTAAGAGGTTCAAATTGGTTCCAAAGTGCAGAGTGATGCATATTGTCTTTTTACGCGGAAACTACACAAGATTTTAGCATGACATAATTACACAGTGTGATATACCTGGTAATTCTGCATCATTTGCTCACAAATTTCCTTTTTTGAGTTAACAGGCTTTTAGTAAATGAGAGATAGATATGTTAGTATCATACATATGTACACTGAGCAAAAAATCAACCAATCAATCCTGATCTGAAAATGAATAGTGGAAGTTAATCAACAATCTCTACTTAAGTAGGCCATCTGAAATTGGGCTTTAGTGACAATGGAGAAAGAAAATTTAACTTAAAAATTGAGAAAACGTCCCCGGTTATTAAATATGGAAAGAAAGGACTATTGCAAAAATTTCAATATGGGGGACGAAAAATCTTTGGAAGTGAACTTCCCAAGTATGTAATAAATAGACATCGGAATTCTATGAAATTGCATATTTTTGTTTAGCATCCAAGAGATCCTGGACCAAGACAGAAATTCGTTGAATTCAAAATGAAGAAGATTTACGCCAAGCATATTTGCATATATTTTGCATTTCCCATAGTTTTTGAATATCTGCTATCATTGTAAATCCAAGATGGCCGCGCACTATAAGCTAAATCACTTTTGTTTAAAATCTAATATAACGAGAAGGAAAGAGATAGCGCAATATTTTTTTTATGAATAAAGTTCAAGTTATGTCGATTAAAGGAAAACTAAAGCGAACGTTATCACGTTTTACTTTAAGGGCTGATGAGGGGCGAAGTTGACCATGTTTAAAAAATTTATGACCTTTCGATTTTCCTTTTGCTGTATCTCAGAGGCAAATCACCATATTGATAATTTTTTTTTAATTGTAGTAAATTTAATGTAGATTAAGAAAAAGCTTATTAGGATATTGTGGCTAAAACCGAGAAAATTCACTGAAAAACATTGTAAAGTGTTTTCGTAGGAGGCGAAAACGATTCCAAAAATTATTTCTGATAGGTGTAATTTATTGGGATATCAGTTGCGAAAAACCAGAAAATTCAAGAACTCGATGTCTTTTCGCTTTTCTTTTTGCTGTACATATCTCAAACGCAAATCATGATACCGATACAAAGACGAAGGCGCTGGATTGTTCCTTTTTTAAATTGTTTTCGCCTCCTACGAAAACACTTTACAATGTTTTTCAATGAAATTTCTGGGCTTTAGCCACTCACCTTTTATTTTAACCCCAAATTTAGGGGTTGATGGTATCCTGATAAGCTTTTCCTTAATCTATATTAAATTTACTACAATTAAAAAAAACAAAAAGATCGATCTCGTGACTAGTATTAGTTAATTGGAAAAAAAAAAATGTGTCGGTAACATGATTTGCGTTTGAGGTACAGCAAAAAGAAAATCGACATCAATTTCTTGAAGTTTCTGGTTTTTCGCAACTTTCCCCTTATTTCGACCTTTAAATTAAGGATGAATGATATCTCAATAAATTTCCCCTTGCAGAAATAATTTTTGGAATCGTTTTCGCCTGCTACGAAAACACTTTACAATGTTTTTCAGTGAATTTTCTGGATTTTAGCCACTCACTCCTTATTTCAAGCCCTAATTTAGGGGTTGATGGTATCCTAATATGCTTTTTCTTAATCTACATTAAATTTACTACAATTAAAAAAAACAAAAAGATCGATCTCGTGACTAGTATTAGTTAATTGGAAACATTTAAACGTAAAATTTTTTTTTCTACTAGTTTTCAACATCAACATAAATAAATAAAAAGCTAGAGCTTTTTAAAAAGTTGCCACGGATAAGTCGACGCGAAATTTAATTTTTTATTTAAAAAAAAAAGTAACTTGAAATCGGTTCATATTTAGGCTCTCAAAATTAATTTGTCCAAAGCAACCCTTTTTGCCCCACTGTGCGGCGCTCCAACAGTCGCAATGGCCGACATAGCAGAGCACTGGCGCGGTATTACTGATGTCCGCGGTTCAATCCTGGCGCAGGGAAATTTATTCATATTTATTTTTTTTTTGTTTTTTTAGGATTTTTATTGTATTTTTACAATTTACTAAAAATAATATATCTTTATTAATTTCTTGTTTTGTGGCAAAAGTATTTCTTCCCTAATGCGTATTTTTCTGCAATGAAATTAGATTTTGAAGTTTATTGCCTACATTTAAATTGAAATAATTATATTGACTTACATTGAATCAATTTCAAAAATCTTAACCACCCCCAAGCGGACACGAACCTGCGACCTCAGCACCAGAACCGCCAGTCTTCACGCGACGCCAAAGCCGTCATTTGTAAGAAAAGCAATTAATTCCGTCTTAAGTTTGGTTTTGGCAATTCAAAGGCAGATGTCGCTGCACGCTTCTTCGAAATTTTCGAACTGGTAGGCCATCGCTTTAGCACATACTAGTTAAGAACTGGTATTGATACTAAATGGTTTGGTTTTTCACTGCAGGGTATCGACCAGCGTTGCCACAGACACATTTTTTTCTACCAAAGTTTTCTACCAAAGTTTCCTACCATAACCAACCAAAACCTACCAAAATTTTTTTTGGGATGTAATATTTTACTTCAACGTACGAAAGGATGTAGTAAAATTTTATTTTGTCAAACAAAAACATAAAAACATGAGCTCATGAGATCAATACAACGGACACCAGCAAAACAAAACAATTTATCACAACTAAAGCACAGAGAATTTTTAACAATGCATGTACCTTTTTGTTCCTTATAAAAATAGAGTTTATACTAAATACATCAGAAAACATAAAAATAAAATTTCTAAACTTTGTGCAAAACTCGGGAAAATGCAATAAATTTGCATACAAATTCGCAACTTTCTATTCAGACCTTTTTATAAAAATTTTGAAAATGAAGTTTTGCAGCCCATAAAAATTTAGTTGATTTTTGGTATTGTTTTTACTGATAGTTTCTTCCATACAAACTATGTTCGAATTTTTTTGTATGTGGAAGACACTGTCAGCAAAAAATAAATAATTGCAAAAATCAACGAAATTTTCTGGTAACTTGAGACTTGCACTTTGCTAATTAGCTCAAAAGCTACATTTTAAAAATTTTGTAAAAGATCTGATTAGAAATTGTGATCAGATGAAAGAGTCTCCGAGCCAATAATTTTGTACGGCACGGTACTTATAAGTAATCTCGGTCTCACGAAATAAAAAAAATTAAATACAAGCATATATGTAATACTCCTATATTGGCAGTAAGTGCTAGTACCGTCCGAAAACACTACAGTACAGATGTTTCAATAAACACGTACGAAAGAAAAGGAACACACACGTTTATAAATAAACATGTACACAACACATATACAAAAACGGCACTCAAGTACACAATACATTGACAAAAACCGTACTAGACTGTCTCGCTTTGATTTCGGAATGCTTAGACATTGAGAAGTTAGCTTACTGCCAATATAGAAGTATTACATATATAAATACAAGGTAACATTAAAATATCAGTCATTTGTTTCGTTGCTGTGAACTTGTTTCAAAACTTCTGGCATTTGCTTAATATAATTGTAAAACTCTGTGCATGTCATTTTAACGTATTTAGGTACATACTTATATTAATCATTTACTATTGCTTGTGCAAAACGTGCTAAATTAAAAAAAAAAACGCATATGAAAGAGCACCAACCCAACTCGTAATAAATTTAAGTATACAAATTTTAGTATTTAGTATAGAATTATTCAATTGAAATACGCCAATATTAAAATGAAGCGCTTTGCACTTAACGGATGCTTTTTCATAATTAAGTTAAAAAATATGTATTTAAATTCCATGCTGCCTGTAATGGGATTTGAACCCTGACGCTCTGGAAATTAGCAAATTGTGGCAAGCATCTTCATGCACTCAGCTACAGTCAGACATGTAAATGTGCATTCAAATGTTCAGTTTGATTCAACGAAAATTTTAAAATGATAGTCAAATAAAAAAGATTCATGTTTACTATGCGTTATTTCCCCCAGTAAATTCATACAATTTTTCTTAATATTACAACGCGTTTTATCTCTCAGTGTAGTCATTTTTATGCAAAACTTGTGCAATCAAATCGAAAAACGGGACACTTAAACAAAACCCGGGACATTTTAAGGTTAGACCGGGACACCGGGACAAATTGTCTAAAACCGGGACATGTCCGGGAAAACCGGGACGTCTGGCAGCCCTATGTGTAAAACCATTCATTTTTACTGTACAGACTTATCCAAATGTATGTCTCTTTACACATACATACATATCGTCAATAGATACGAATTAAGATGCGAGCTCAAAAGATGACAGCGAAAAAAGACGCGTAAAAAATTTCGGCGAAGAAAGACTTTTAACATAGGTGATGGCAGGAAAGCCGCGTTAACCTCTTTGATGGCGAAGAAAGACGCATAAACTTATGTTCGTGGTCAACTATGTTTGCGAGTGTAACAGTATACGAATTCCCTAAAGAGTTTTTCCGAAATGATGTTGATCCATTTTTATGCGTCTTTTTTCGCAAATTGTTTCCCGAGTTCTTTTTCGTCGTTAAAACACCCGAGCATCTTAATTCGCATCTAGTGACGATATTACTATTATTACGTCGGAGATACCCGCGCTGCGACCTAAGAAGATATATTGTGCTAAATCCTGATTGTAATCACTCCAACTTTAGGCTTTTTAAAAAGCTCAACACTTTGGATGATGCCATGTTCCAAATTTTAAATGGAGAATACAATCGTTCTCCAAGGTATATCAATCTACGATTTATGCTTCGTAGACAGGCACATAGAATATACTCTGGAGTTTCCTTCACCAGTGCCCAAAACATACAGTCCGTCTCTACAGAAAGACCCATTTAATTCAAACGGTACGTTAATTTGCAGTGT